ACTCCATCTTAGGTCTATCTCAAGTCCATCTCAAATCCATATTGGACTCTATCTCAAACTCCATCTCAAATTCATCTCAAGTCCCTATCAAACTCCATCTTGGACTCCATCTTAAGTTCATCTCAAACTCTATCTCAGGTCAACCTCGGATCCATATCGAACTCCATCTTAAACTCTATTTCAAACTCTTTCTTGGACTCTTTTTCAAATTTGTTCCTGCATGACATTTGCCATAAGTCAGTCCTTCTTATGCCCCTTTTTAAAGACTCATTCACCAATTGTTTAATGCTCATTCCTCAAGCATTTCATTTGGAGTTCCACTCCCACTATTGACTTTTCAAGTTGGAGCTTTTGGTTTAAACATATTACGCTTGTTGGACTTCCACTTCAACCACTACTATATGACACCCTTTCTGTTCCATTTTGAGGCTTAGAGATTTGTGTCTCAGAATAAAGTGTCAAGAGAGTGGGGGTTTTAGATGTGACTTTTAACTTTCATTCATAAGGGCGTCAACTTGTAAAGAAACATGATTTGCAATTAAAGAGAATGATTTGATCCATAAGGTTCAAATGTAAAGGGAAAGAATTTATGAATAAAAGCGCACTCTCTTTTCCAATTAATTAAAGGTTTTTGGATATTTAGGGTTAAGTGTCTTCTAAGTGACCTCTTGAAAGGTCTAAATCCAAGAGTTTACACAAATCCTTCTAAGAAGTTTAAATCTAGAAGTTTACATATTCCAATTAAATATGCTAGATTTTCAAATCAAACACACTAATTGTAAACCACAACTTTAGGGCATCCCTCATTTGATAGTATGCCCAAGCTAACCTCCTTACTGAGAGTCTATAACTATTGAAAAATAAATACTTTTATATTCTAAACTATCACTATGCCATAATGCCTTTATATTACTAGAGATTTTGGACTCTAACCCAGCTTTTGTATATGCATCTGTCACACATAATGCCTAATATTACTCCCCACACCAAATTTATACCTATACTAATTAGCTTATCTTTCATATGAGTGCTATGGGTCATAAATTAAGAATCTTATTCATCCCAACTTCTAAATTATCTCATTTGACAAGCTAAGTGATTAAGCTATAATCATGTATAGATTCCTTTATATTTGGCTTCATAGGCCTCTCTTATGAAGTAAATTGTTTACCTAAAAACACTATTCTTCTGAATTGCTAATCCCATTTAACAAGTCACCCAACCAATATAATCTGGTTCTACACATAAGCATGTGAGTCCTCAAATTAGTTTATTTGAATGTTATTAACTTTTATTCAAAGCCATCCTTTTGAAAATATAGGAATTACTTCCCCAACCTTGATATCCTTACTTTATGACAAGCTTGAAAACTACGCTTCTATTGTGTTATTTTAATTTTGTGCATACTTATGAACTATTTATACTCAACTTCTTAAATATCGACTTACTATGAAACACAAATCCCTAAGCCCCAAAGTGGAGCCGAAAGGGTGCCACGTGGTAGTGGCCAAAGCGAAAGCCAAACAAACATAACACGTTTGGACCAAAAACTCTAACTTGAAAAGTCAAGAGTAGGAGTGGAACTCCAATGAAGTGCTCGAGGAATAAGTACAAAGCGACCAATAAGTGAGTCTCTAGAAAAAGGGCATAAGAGGACCAACACATGACACGGGGAAGTGTTCGAGATGGAATATGAGAAAGAGTCTAAGATGGAATCCAAGATGGACCCGAAATGGAGTCCGAAATGGAGTTTGAGATGGATCCAAGATGGAGTCAAAGATGGACCCGAGATTGAGTCTGACAAAGACCTGATATGGAGTCCGAGATGGGCCTAAGATGGACCCGAGATGGAGTCCAAGATGGATCTGAGATGGAGTTCGAGATGGACCCGAGTGTAAGCTCCTGAGTTTGGACTTCCCGGGAGGTCACCCAGCCTAGTACTATTCAAACCCAAGGACACTTAACCCCAAATATCCCAAGACCCTTAACCGATTGGAAAAGAGGGTGCACTCTTATTCATGGGCCCTTTCCCTCTATATTTGAACCCCATGGACCGTCTTTCGAGTCGTTCCCTTTGGTTGCTTACACCGAGATGGAGTTCGAGATGGACCCAAGATGGAGTCTGAGATAGAGTTCGAGATGGAGTCCGAGATGGAGTTCGATATGGGCCCGAAATGGAGTCCGAGATGGACCCGAGATGGAGTCCGAGATGGCCCCGAGATAAAGTCTGAGATGGAGTTTGAGATGGAGTCCAAGATGGACTCGAGATGGAGTTCGAGATGGAACCGAAACCGAAACCGAAACCAAGACCGAGATTGAGACTAAGATTGAATTTGAATCCGAGTCCGAGATCGAGACCAAGTTCGAGTCCGAGTCTAAGTCTAAGCCCGAAGCCTAAAGCAATCATCCCCCCACGGGGGGGGGGGGGGGGGGGTGGCGTGCTGTGGGGGGTTCCAAAATCCAAAAGTATAATAGGGAGAGTGTGGGGGTTGGACCCTAGTGTTAGTTTGGCCAGAAAAGGCCAGTTTGGCCCAAGAAGGCTATACTTAGCTGTTGGGTAATGAGATAACCACTAGGAAGTCCAAAGCTAAAGTGAATACAGACTGATAAATGGGGTAGTTTAGTGAAGTGTTCAAAAGTTGGTTTTAGTTCCCCTAGAGATTGAATAGTTGATGCTCCCAATCCAAGTGTGGTTGGCACTACCTACTTAGATACCTGGTGTGGTTCAATAGAACTTTGCTCTAAGCCCATGGCTAAAGCACCCAAAGGCGGAAGGTGGGGAGAGTATCCATAAGGCTTACATAGGGCCACGGTATTCTGAAATGTTATCCCAAAGTCCCAAACTATGGAAAGGAAGAAGAATGGTCCTTTGGTGTAGTGACCAAGGATATGGTCATGTTGTGAGGAAGTCCTAGAGGATAGTGAGACTTAGTGGTCAGGCCTGTGAACCTTGTCCTAATGGTAGTGTTGGCGAATATGGCTATGGACAAAAAAGGGATGTGGTAAGGATTGTAAAAAGGATATGGAGAAAAGTTGTTCCCCATGTTTGCGGGCATCTTAAGGATGCTAAGGAGTGGATCTAAGATGGTCACTCATGGATGGATGGCCTAGTCTTTGAGAAATGGGACTGTGATGCAGGTGGTGTTAAACCACCAGTGTGACCAAGGTGAATGAGTATGGTCTTAGCATAACAGGCAAATATGTCGGTGGTACCTTGGGGTGTTGGTCATGGGATTGGACATGTGGAGCACTTGGACCAAGTGCAAAGGTTGAATGGCATGGATGCCATTTTTGGGGCTAGTAAACCTTAAGTCCTGAATTGGACTTATGGAGGTTGTGAATGAGACTTCTTCAAGTGGTCAGAAGTGTGGTTAAATGACTAAACAAGTATTATACTTAATGACTTAGGGAGGATTAATTTGTAATCCCATACACTAAAATTAATATTACTATTTATGAAACCCTTGTATGCCCATTGCTAATAGTGTTGGAATATTTGCTGAATAAAACTTCCTCTAGCTTTAGCTTTCTTTAACTTTAACACCTCTTATTGCCTTATCTGATACCTTTTTAATACTAACCTGTGTTTTATGTGTATATTAAACCTCTTTATCCCAATAAAAAGTCTAGGGAAATTAGCTTTCACCATTTTAATCAATTTTATTAAACTTATCTTAAAGTTATTATGTTTTATAACTCATTGCCATACCTTCGTATTTGGTCAAAATATTTTATTTTTATACCTTCTAGCTTAGGCTATGCCATGTGTTAAACACTTTATATACAATCTTTAAAACCCTACTTTTAAATGAGCTTTGAAAACTAATATAGTCAAACCTCAACTAATTCAGAAACTTAATTTGGGTTTTATACTAATATAAAATGCCCATCCATATGCAATCAGTCTTGAGTTCAAATCTTATAAATAGGCATTTAGTTTAATTTCTGTTTTGAGTGAATATAACCCCCCTTCCACCCCATCAACATCTGCATGGGTCACAATACATATCCTTGTTAATCCAAATGATATAAATTCCAACTTATATGTTCAAGTTTAGTAATTATTTGAAGGTGGTGTTTTTTAATCAAAACTCAGGAAAGGCTATTTATTACCATTCTAAAAGCTCAATTTTAAATGAAATATATTTTAATTTAGGACTGGCATAGAATGCTAGGCTTAACTAAATTAGGCTCAGTCCAATCTGAACCATTCAAGATTTTTACCAATCAATCTGAACCATTTAGTATTTGTACAAATAATGACCTTCCAGTGATTCTTATAAAGTTATTTTCACTATAAGAATACATGTTTTTTAGGTAGTGTTTTATTTGAAACTTTTCCACCCTTAGGGTCAACAGGTGAATGGATTAGGAGTAACCCCAGTTTGTGTTGCAAAAGCCCAAAAACATGTATTATTATTATACTACTTTGAAATGGAAAAAATATGTATGATTATTATACGCAAAACTTTTGTTTTTAAGAAAATGACCTAAAAGGAACAAAAGCTCCTATTTTAGCGCTTTAGGGCTTTGTTCCTTTCAGGTATGGCTCGTAAGAAGAAAACGGCGAAGAGGAACGTCCGAAGGGACTCTGGGGACAAGGACAAGGAGGGGGCGCGAGAGGTAAAACCAGAAGCGACGAAGAATCTAGTGGAGGAGGCGACGATCGATCCAGCCGATGCCCCTGGCCGCGAGGAAGAGGAAGAGGACGGGGATGCCGATGTGATCTGGGTTCCTCCCCCTCCCTCTCGATCCAGCAAGCGCAGGAAAAACACCGGCGGCGATCCAGAGGTGGAGTGGGAGCTCGTTTCCTCGCGACCCATCAAGAGCTTGGAGGAGATCAAGGCCTCCAAGAGCTTGGAGGAGATCAAAGCCTCCACTCGATCAACAAGGAAACGAACAGTTACAGCGGTAGCAGTGTGATATGATGCTAAATGATGTATAGAAGTTTTCAAGAAAGATTTCCCGTCCTCGTGCTTGATCCTTATTATTTAGAAAAATAATCCCAGGCCTCTAGCAATGCCTGGGAACTCTCCATTCGATCTTATACTTGTCTCTTTGTTCTTGAGTCATGAACTTCCAGAGATTCCAATCCTCTGCTACGAGCTGGAGATCTTGGAGCTTGTTCTCCAGGCCTGCTCCACAGCAATTGGCGTGCATGGTGCAAACGAGCCCCAGATCCTTTGGACGCTCACAAAACCCTCCAAAAAACTCTGTGCTGAGGAATCGCAGCCTCAGTCCCAGGGCCGAGAACTCCGGGCTGAATTTAATGTCGTTGAGCACGTCCTGGTCGTGGCGGCCAGGGAATCGCAGCCGCGCGTCATACCACAGCTCGTAGAGCGCGATCGTCCTGTTGCTGGACACAGCGTGGACGAATCCCCCGTTTGGAGCGTTGTTCAAATCGTTGTCGATTCCAGTGAAGTGATCCGATGCGATCTCGAAGTCCGCCACGGGATGGAATTGAGGGAATGGATCGCGAAACCAGAGAATATCAGCATCCTGACAGAAAACCAAACGAAAGTTAGTGAAGACATTTAGACAAAATTTAGGGTTCTTCCGTGATCTTCGGGATGATCACTGTACGAAAGAGAGCTAGGTACGGTACCGTGAACACGAAGCTATAGCCGAGCTGGAGAACGACGCGGAGGAAGTAGATCCTCCTCCACATCATCTCGAGGTAGTCGGGGGTCATGAAGCGCTTCTGCTCGCCCGCAAAATTGATGCCATCGGTGCGCAGGAGGAAGCAATGCCGGTGGATTTGGGCGCAGCGCTGGAACGAGGGCGAGTCCAGGGCGATGATCACCAAATGAGGGAGGAACCGCTCGGTCTCGATTCCCTTGTGGAAGCCATCGAGGAAGAGATCGATCATGGTATTGTTTTCTGCCCATGCCTGGTTGAGAGTGGTGAGGATCACGGTCTTGTTGTGGAATTGCGCTCTGTGGAGGATCTTCTTGAGGTTTTGGAGCTCTTTCACGCTCTATATGTACAAATTTGCCAATCAGCCTAGAAACAAGTCGATCTAAATTGTCAACTCACAAAGTTGCTGGTGACCGAGAGGCTCTGGAAATCGAAGTTATCCTTGCTGGGACCATGCCCGCCATCGTCCATGGTGGTGCTCGAGTTTGATGCATGCGCTGCTAACCATGAATTTTCGGTGACACCAATGTTCTCTTCCAGAATGGCTTGATCGCGGGCTTGATTGCGGGCTTGATCGCCACTAAATGATAGAACCAAGCCTAAGAAAACGAGGATGCAAAGGATCCCTGCTGCTGGAAGCATAGCTTGCTGCAATTTTTTGGTTCCCTCCATCTGGAAAAAGCACCAAACATTTGCTAGAAGAAGGAATTGGAAGCCGCCATGATGGGGAATCTCTTTGCCTTCGTTTGAAATCAATCGAATTTAGATTATGCGAGTTTTATCATTCTTATGATGGGATTATTCTCTCTAAGTCTAAGATTCGCATGCAAACGCAATACAAGTTGACCACCGATTTTTAAGAAATGCATTAATTATAAAAAATGTTTGGTGACAAAAAGTCTTTGGTTCTATACAGAGATAAATAATTTACATTTTACATATAAATCTGACCAATTCAGCTTCACATTAGCGAGTAGCTTAATTGGTTTGCTGTTTAATATGAATTTTCAAACTTCATAAGAAATCAAAGAGGTAATGTGGGGTTCAATTGATGAGGCTTTACCGGCAAATAATCTAGAATTGCATTGTCTCATGAGTTGGACATTGCAAGAGTATGTATTATTCTTTCGCACAAAGACTTTAACCCTCGTAATTTAGATCCAACTAACATCATAGAGATCTGACGTTAACCCACACCAAAAGAAGGCACATTGTGGTGTGATACCATGTAGTTGGCTCTGAGAATATTTTTATTTCATAGGAGTTTATAGTTTATAAACTTTTTTAATTCCAGGTTATAAGATTCAAGTGGAAAAACTTCTTTATCCTTGCAAAGGTATTGATTGTTGGGGATGTTCTAATCTTTGCAAAGTCCAATTGCTTTGGAAGCTATGACCATTCATCTTTCTTAATCACCTCAATGGTACAATTTGCAAAACAAGAGCATACAAATTAAGCTTTCACCAAGAACACTAAGTGACAGATAGAAAGTAGAAGAAAGGAAAGCCTCCATTTTTATTTACAAACAGATTGTTTGAGATAATCTTTGGATATCATGTACAATTGGACGAAGTGAACCACATTCTAGGTGAGAGACAAGCTAAGTGACGAGAGCATCAAGAATGATTCGGTGGTATGGGACTGCCTTTGCACAAAAAGATGAGAAGGGAGTAATTTTTTTTGTTTATTTAAACCCTAAACCCTAAACTTAACCCTTGGGATTTTGAACAAAGTTACTCTAAAATAATTCTAGAACATTTAAAATCCTAATGCTAAAAGTAATACCAAATGAGATCTAAAAACCTACATTGAAGAAAGAGAGAAAATGTTAGTTTTACTTACAACATCAAACTCTCAAGCTTTGCGTAAGTTGAATCTCTTTCTATTCGCTGATACCATTGTCTATTCCCATCATTCATAACAAGATACCTCGTTGTCAGTGTAAATCCCAGCCACATTTCAAGCCTGGCAAAACAAATTCCTCACTATATGATCCAAATACTTCATTGGATGTTCAGCTGCAAACTACTGCTCCTAAGTCATATTTCCGGATGCTGACGTCCCTCTCAGTTTAGAACACACTCAGAAACTGGCAGAGATCCATAAATTGCCTAAGTTATTTCTGCAAGCAGCTTCGTCGTTCCTTCACCCCGAGCCATCTGTTTGAGAATGGTTTAAAGTAACAGAACTTTCAAAATAGATTACCTGTTGTGGCTAAGAAACTTTAAATGGATCAATGGCAGCCAAGAAAATGTAGCATCCTCCATCTTGTACTTCTTTTTTCTCCAGAGCCAACTTTGATGCTTGAGCCCCCTCTTTGAAATCGTTCCAGCTCTTGCAAGCTCCTAAGAAATTCTTCCAGTCGGAGCTATCTGGCACAAAAGGCATGCTTTCCATCAAATCCCGAGCTCCACACAAATTGTTGGAGCGAGCGAGGACATCTGCAAAGCTCCTGTGATGGTACTTGGATAGCTTGACACCAAAATCCAGGCTTATCGACTGGAAACGAAGCCTTGCATCCGAGATTTCTCCGCCATGGCTGCAAGCGTAGAGAACAGCGAGCAAAGTAACCTCGTCAAGATCATGAGCGTTCAAGTTCGCTTCTGCAAAAAATGAATTTGCTTCGACAAATTGCCCAGCTTGAGCAAGTGCAGTTAAAACAATGTTAACGGAAGTAGTGTTCTTTTCAGGCATTTGATTGAACAAATGTTTTAGAAAATCTACATGAGAATTCACGTTTGATCCCAGAAATAAGTTTGCAGACACTACGTTTTTCACAGGCAGAGAATAATAGAGCAGCTTTGCTTGTTTGAAATGCCCATTTGAAGTATACGCTGTAAGCAAGCAATTCCAAGAGACAAGATTCCACTCAGGCATTTGTAGGAAAATTTTTACCGCAAAACTCATTTGGTTTTCCTTGGAAAACGCATGAAGAACTGTCGTGTACGAAACGATGCTCTTGTACCTCATAGAATCAAAAAAGTCTTTACAACTTAGCAAATGCCCAGATTTGGCATATGCCAAAAGCATCACGTTTGTGGCGATTAGATCCACCTCGGGCATGCTATGGAACAGAGAAATCGCGCCTGGAAGATCGCGAAAGTGTGCGAATCCTGAAAGCGCAGTTGTGAGCGAGATTAGATTTCTCTCCGGCATTGAATCGAGCAAGCGCTTGAGCTGGATAGATTCCCCACGAGCGGCAACTGCAGATAGGATGTGACAAAAGGAAACGAGACTTCTCTCTGGCATCAAATCGAAGAATTGCTCCACCGTTTCCAGATCCTTGGAGCCGCGGGAGTACGCGAGCAACATCGAATTCCACGAGATGATGTTTCGCAGCGGCATGGAATCGAAGAGGCGCTTGGCGGTGTCCACGAATCTCTCTTCTTCGCTCCTGGCATACGCGGCGATGATCGTGTTCCAGGAGATGAGATTTGGAGCTAGGTGGCGATCGAAGACTTGCTTGGCACGACCAACATCGCCATTTCGCGCGTAGGCCGCTAGCAGTGCGTTCCAGGCCTGGGGATTCTTCTCCGGCATTCGATTGAATACTTGCTCTGCCGCGACAAGATCGTGGCTGCGAGACAATTGGGTGATCTTCATCACCGAAACGATCGCATCACTGGATGCCATCACTTTCGAATCACTCCATCTCTTTCTTCTCAGATAGATCACGTCCCTATAGAATGTTCTTTTAACTCTATGCTCTTTTAAGTATATCTTCTTGCAAGATAGCACAGAGAGAAATCTCCACACAAGGTCTACTAACAGATAGCAAAGATTTGTACAAGCTTCTCGCGCGCTGTGGAGAGGCCAAAGGTCTTCTCCAGGGAAGATACCTCCACACTAGAATCCTTCCAAGCGAGATACAAAGCAACGCTCCCAGAACGTTCAAATGTATGGTCGGTGAGGAAGCATGCAAGGTTTTCGAGACCATCAAAGAGAGAACTTTGATCTCATGGACGATCATGTTTGGTACATATACCAAAAACGTGGAAGGGAAGTTTCTCTTCAAAAAATGCCAAAGCGTGATATGGTATTGTGCAATTTTGTGTTAGCTTGGTATGCCCAAGTAGGTATACTGCTGAAACAGGCACCAGCTTTGAGAAAATGCCTGGGCATGATTTAGTTTCATGGACTTCTATGCTTAAGTTATATGCCCAAAGTGGGCATCTGTTCAAAGCCAAGTATGTTTGATAGAATGCCACACAGGGATATAGTCTCTTGGAGCACTATGATCAATGCCTTCGGTGAAAATGAAAAATGGAGTAGAAAGTTGGTTGAGTTTTGAGAATTTGTATTTTTAAATTGAGAGTTATTATTTCTCTAGGATAAAAAATTTCCATAAATTTTCTTAAGCCTTTTTAATAATTGATATGTTAATCATTTTGCCCAAAAATCATTTTGTTTTGAAAGCTATTGTAAACTAGTGAGAAGAAGTTGGAGTTGACTTTGGTTAAATTAGACTTTTAAGTAGTTTATATAATATGACTTGAAAGGGATATTAACTTTTGGGGCTAAGGCAATTAAGTTAAATAAAATTTAAAGTTGGTGTAAGAAAGTGGTTGTTACATTTTTTTAGAAAGTGATCTTTATGTAGCGTTATATTTAGTGGTAAATTGCATCTTGTATTTTGTTAAACTTTATGAGAGTAATGAGTTTTTGTTGATCTTGACTTGGTCTTAATAGCCTTGGCTAAGGATGATGATATCCAATTTAGTTGTTTGAGGTTGAAGTGTTAGTATCCATATTATAACCTTGTTTATTAAGAGGTTATATACCATACGAGTCCATTTTATAGTATTTGTTTAGTTTTGATTAAGTGTTACATAATTAATCTCTTCAACACATATTCAAAGCTAAATGTATTAGTGAGTTTATTGCAATTGAGTTAGATTCAAATGGTCATTTAGTTTCCTTTATATTATACATAAAGTGATAGCTTCTTCTTTGATAAGTACATAAATCAATAATATGGGTTTAGTGTTTGGGTCTTCTGAAGGCAACTTAACAAATAATTATTAGTTCTTTTGTGACTAATGGTTGTTTGTAGATTTCATTAAGAATTATTAACACTTATTTTTTTGAATGATGATTTAATAGTGATGGGCTTGCTTTACTGGATAGTATTGTGGAGGATTGTGTCTTTATCCTTGCATGGTTTTCTTATGTTAGCATGTCGATTCTACCTCTGTCAATATAATTTAGTTGCGTTTAGTTTATAGTGTTGGACTTTATTCAATCTTGGACATGGTGACTCACTTTTAATAATGTTTTATTTAGAGTTTAATATTATTGAAAGATTAGTTTCAGATACTAAGTAGAATATCTTCAACCTTATTTAACTTGGTTGTTAAAGAGGTTTGAGTGGTGATTCACTTTTGCTTTCTTTTAGCTTTGTTTTAGTATTCATGGCATTAAAGTGATGCCTTATTATTGATATTGTTGATATTAAGATTTAAGTGAAATCAAATGTCTCTTTATAGGATTGCTATTGAGTTTCATTCGTCTCAATACAAATAGTGTTGATGATTTAATTGTAACTTTATGTCGTTAACATTTTTGCAGTTGTTAATTAGCAACTATATTGGCATTCAAACAAATTGAGTAGTAGGTTGAATTAGTCTTATTCTAGATGCAATTGCTTAATAGAGGTTGAGATTTAGCTTTTCTTTAAAAAGTGGTTTAATTGTGGACTATGCTACAGGGAACTAAACTCTTTGAGGT